TTCGTTTGTGTCCTTTAGTCTTAGTTTAATATTAAATTTTTGTCATAGCATGTAAAATCAATTCTGCACATCAGTTATGCATTGCGCAACTAAAGAATTCCCACGCACAGCTTCGGTTTTAGTGGGTTTCTCCATGTTTGTTTGTATTGCTTTGTTTACAAGTTACTATCTTGTGCTGTATATTTATGAATAAACATTATTATTATTATATCATATTATGAATAGAAATTATAATGTTTCTCTTAGTACCTATCTTCTGTTCGAGTTTCAATATTTAATACAAATAAGAATTGAAATGGTCGAAATTCTGTTCCACAAAGAAATACAATAAAAAAATAAGGTCTAATTGATTTGTTATACCACACGGTTGCCGAAAAAATAGTGTACACAACGCGTTCGAAAACAGTTTTTTGAGCCTAGCAGACCTCCCGGACTTGCCTACGGCTCGTCCTAGAAATGTGTCTACTCGTCAAAAAACAGTATTTTCCGGACATATTACGTACATTACTATCTACGAGTTCATTTTTGTACAGAGGTCAAGTAATCAATTACTTCTGTCATAATTTGCATTAAAATCGTTCTGAAGTGGCGCCAAACCAAAATGATAATCATGAATTGCTGACAATCAAAATGTAAATGAATTGAAATTAACATAACTGTTCGAAACACAATACTCCGTTGTTCATCTAAAGCTTCCGATACGAGTTTCAACCATGTCTCGGTATAGAAATGTTAACTGAAGTGATGTCAGATGTGACGGAAAAACGCAAACCTTTTTTTTATTGATATGATAGGTATCTATGAATTGAATTCAGCAATATATCGTTTGGTATAGCAGTTTTTCGAAGAGAGGATACTATTTTGATGACATTGCTGCAGATGCCGTTAGTTTGTTGATAATTCTAATTAAAATAGTTATCTTTTCCAATTAGGTACGTAGGCAAATCCCATCACTCACACCTTCAAACTAACCACAGCTGACCAGATTCATAACCTTTGAAAATCAATCATCAAATTACCCCAGTTAAGCTGTCAGAACCAGTTTGGCTTTTTACGTGTTTATATTTCGATTTGGTTCTATCAATTTAACGGTGAAGCTAGCAGACCCTATTGAATAAACACACAACAAATGAAAAAACAGCAAAACTGAGAAATAGAAGCTCAAACTGTCATTGAAATGCTCATTATCATTTTTATCTTTCCAAATTTGAAAAATGTTTCCAAAAAATTATATTCACTTCTAAATGTGCGTCTGATATAATCACTTCAATATTCAAAAAATGAAAGGAGCAGAAAATTGAGTTCTTGAGAAAGAGAAGGGGCTATGCCACATAAGTTTTTTTTGTTCTAATGGTTCTGAATCGAGCCGCCACCTGTGGACAATAATACAAACTCTTTGGAAGTGTGCCATATTCCCATTATTATTTCAGTGTATGTTCGACTTATTCTTATAAAACCTTAATTTTCTCAAAGAGACAATGAGTCTAAAATTATTGCAAGTTCAAAGTTTCCAAAATGTGAAGGATTTCGATTTTGTTTTGCCAGCTTACCGGTAGGGTTAACAAAACCCACTACTAAAAAAATCCATGAAAATTGGCTATAGAGTCAAATAAGAAACAAATATGAGCCCAAAATTTTGCCGTAGTCTCATTCATCATAATGTTTTTTCTGTTGTTGAATTCTCCTAGCCTAACGACTAGCTAGGAGAACTCCGTTGAATGAGAAGCAGAAAGTTCAGGAATTAGGTACAAAAATGTGAAAATTAATGTGAAAATCCAACGTGGTTCTGCTAGCAGAACAGGCTTAGTTGAGGACAGGGGTCCCCAAAATAATGATGACAATCAAGTACTTTTGCAAATCAAATAACTTACTCTGTTCAAAAAATGGGGTGAATTTTCATTTTCCTCAGAAAATGTTATTTATTTATCTATCAATTCCTATTTTGTCCCCATCAAAGTAGTCCCCCTCAATTTTAATCTCCTCAGTCGTCCTTCCATGGGTCTCTTCAATCTTGGGAATAGTAAAAAGTCACAGGGGGCCGAATCGGGTGAATACAGTGACTGTGGCATGATTACGGTGTTGTTTTTGACAAAAAAATTAGGAAGATTTTCGTGATGCTAAGACATGAATTGTTTTTCTACAATACCGGACGTTTTCTTCGTATTGCTTCTCGCAATCGGAGCATCAGTTCAAGATACGACCGTACGACCATATGGCAAGAAATCTTATACCCATGATTCGTCACAAGTTATGACCCATAGGAGGTTTTTTTTTGTCAAAATTCAGCAATTTTCGAACGAACTTCGCTGTCACAAGCTTCATGCCCAAAATTTTCGAAAAAAACTGATGCATGGTATGAGCCAACCGATATGCCGACATCCACAGCAACGTCTCTAATAGTGATTTGACGATTCTCCGTAACATTTTCATCGGTTGTTGATGTGTTGGGGCGTCCAGGGCAAGCGTCGTCATTCACATCTTCTCGATCTTCTGTAAAAAGCTTGTGCCACTGGTAAACATTTTTTTGTCTCAGAGTACAATCATTGTATGTCACTGTCAACATTTCGAGTATTTTGAGCACCTAATTCCATTTTTTACCAACAAACTAAAAATTCTAAACGGCAGAAACTGTGAACGTATGTTTGAGACGGATGTACCAACATAAAAAAAAATAAAAAAATGCTAATCGAATGTATGTAGCTCGCGAAATTTGAACATTCACCTCATTTTTTCAACAGCCCACTCGCCAGCGTTCACAAATGTGTGGTATTTTTACCAAAAGGGGTACATTTTTTGACTGTGCTACCGCAAAATTTCTGCAAACATCCTGCAAATTTGAAACCAACAATCATGCTACTTTTGAACAAAATATTCAAAAATATTCATTTCTTACAATTATTTTTCGTTACAATAGCAGTTTATGTTACATGTTTTTTTTTATAAGAAATGTCCATGTCCATGTCCAGTTCATTTTAGACCAACACTCATGAAACACCCTTCACCGTTGAAGATTGTGGAATTTATTGAACGGTATCAAATGCATCGAGTCGAAGAGAAAAAACAAAAACTAACGATATTTGCAGTTATATCCGTGATCAAAATAAAGCAATTTGCATATAAAGTGTCTACTTTGTGAGTGGAGTTTCAGGTTCGTAGGTTCATTCCAGCTGTTCCTATCTGTTTCCTATCCATTTCAAAGGAAAATATATAATATTTCGGAAACACAAATCTCACAGATCGTTGTTCAGAATAAATAAAAGGTAACACTAGTTTACAGCCAATTTACGACTGTAATGCCAAGGGCAGTTCTTTGTTAATTTTTAGTAAAACTTTCCTAACACGTAAGATTTTTGAGTCCAAATTTGATTTTCCCCCAAATTGAAGAAATTGTTTAAAATCTGGCATCGCAGCGTCTAATACAAGTTTGAAAGCCGTTCTGCTCCATAATGGTAACAAAAGACCCTCTATTCCTCTTGCACATGCAGTTGCCATGACGGAAACACACAAAAATATGTCACTTATTCTAAATGCAATAAGTTATAATACGTATACGTGGCAAATATGTGGTGACCTAAAAGTCATTGGACTATTACTAGGTCTTCAGGGTGGATTTACGAAGTTTTGCTGTTTTTTTTGCCTTTGGAACAGTAGGGCAACAAAGAGCCATTATCAAGTAAAAGAATAGCCTCCGAGAGATAAATATATTCCAAGTCAAACTAACGTGAAGAATATACCTCTTGTTAATCCCAAAAACGTTTTGACACCTCCATTACACAATAAACTGGGGTTAATGAAAAATTTTGCAAAAGCATTAGACAAAGAAGTTGGTGTGTTTAAATATCTCAAACACGTTTTTCCAAAATTAAGTGATGCAAAGCTCAAGGAGGGTATATTTGTTGGACCACAAATTATAAAACTACTAAGTGATCAAAAATCAGGTTATGTTGAATTAGCTGCGTGGAGTTTTTTCAAAAGAGTTGTTTCGGAGTTTTTAGGAAACAAGAAAGTAGAAAAAAACGAAACACTTGTAGAAGAACTACTTGAAAACTACTGCAGAATGAGATGTCGCATGTCTTTCAAAATCCATTTCTTGCACTCCTATTTGAATTTTTCCCCAGAAAATTTGGGTGCTGTCAGTGACGAACAACAGAAAAGGTTCCACCCAGAACAGAACAGATGGGATGCAACAATAATGGGGAATTATCTTTGGTTCCTTATGAGGGAAACTGATGTAACATATAAACGAAAGTCAACATTTTCAAAAAGGTTATGCACGAAAGACTTCATTTGAATGTTTTTTCATGTGTATTGTAAATAAAGTCTCAAAATATATTGTTTTTTTCTTGTTTTGATCTTATATTTCCCTATAATATGTGAAAATTTTTGTATAAAATAAAAATAACTATAACTCAAAATATTTACGTGATGGAAAATGTTTGATGTTGAAGTCGCAGTCAAGATGCTTTATGTTGTTATAATATTAGTCGCATTATTTTTCATATTTTTTGGCTAGTGTAATCGATAAACTAAGTGTTCGAGCTCATATCGAAATGGAAATTCACTTAAGCAATGGAAAAATTAACTCACCGAATAAGTATTCCATTTTTTATAAGAACACACTGTATTTAATGCGACAAGATGAAAAACGTTTAAATGGAAATGAAGAAAAACTAAGGAACTATTATAGAGTGCATGAAAAATTATCATTGAGGGCAATTTTCACGAGAATTTTGAGGTAAACCGCAGAGTTTGCTGTATTATTTTAACGAACGACTGAACGGTTATTATTATTCTGCAATCTCGAAAGGATTCCAATAATCCAACCATTCTATTTCTCGAAACTGTACAGTGCTCGATTTGCTGTTTGTGTTTACATCACTAAATTTAATTAAACCACCCAGCATAGAGCGATAGTATGACTTACTTTCTAGTGGGGGTTTAATACGGTTTACTATAAAAAGTAAGAAGAGATTTTGGAAGACCGTCAATTACTTACAGACCCCATCACATCCAATACGCGCAAGATGAGACACTTTTTGGTAAGTAGATCAGCGAGTTGTCTAAAGTGATTACAGTGATTGTAAAGTGTTGATATGCCGGAGTGGACTGCAATAAGTGAACGCCTTTCACTATCATTCGTGAACTGTCGACCGTGCGTGTTTTTTTAATAATTCCACCGTCGTTTTTAGCCTGTTTGTGGAATAATAAGATTCCAACAATTTCTCCAGAGAAAAATTAGAGTCCGTTTGTGTTTCACTTGTCGAATACTCACAGTCACACTGTCACAATTTTGTGATTTTTCCTTCTAATTCATTTTCACTTTTCAAATTTGAATTATTCTCGGAAATTTTTCATACTGTTTCATCAAATGTATTCATTTTGTAATCTGAACAAACCATTTTGTAGAAATTGATGACTACAATCCCAGTTAACAATTCAGCGAGTATTTTCATTCTGCAATTCTCATTTCAGAACATGAGAATCAACTAAAATACTTGAAAATTATTCATGTTGAAATTTTCAAACGAAACGAGTTCTTCATTTTATTATTATTTCAATAATGGTTATTAATATAAAATATTTTGTCAAACGATCTGATTATATACTTGACTCGAACTAGAGCTATATCTAAGTATCATAGCAAGGCAAATCTTCAATTTTTTGAATATTTTTCAATGTGATTCATCTGCTTGAATTATATCTCCAGATTTCTTTTGTTCTCTACAAATTGCTTTCCTCAGTAGATGACCTCAAGATAAGATGTAACAAGTCATTTAACTCATATACCTTTATTTGGAGTGAAATATCATAGTATAATTTAATATCCGTTGTGATACCAGCCGGGGAAGTAGTTGTTTTTCGACAGTCATTTACCAAAATCTACGGTGTAGGTATTTGGTTAAGATTTTATTTTCAAATATTCATTTTCTAGTATGTTTTATATATTCAATATTTGTATTGAACTTAAATGCTTTCAGAAATTCAAACATTTCTCATTTAGACTGGAATACGTGTTTTTGACAATCAAATAATGAATATGCTTAGTAAAATTTCAATTTATTTTAGTGTTTTGAATAGTGACATGGTTACTGCTGTTTCTTAATTCATTCAATGATATATAAATTATATTTATTTTTTGCAAACCTATTATCACATTTGGCAAATATGAGTTTAATATTCGGTTTTATTTTGAAATTTTTTTTGTCAAAATTCAACACTTTCAATGAAAAGTCAGACATTTTGTCGGATACAGATTGGAGGATAGAATCCATTTTGAATATTCACTTCTCCAGAATGATATTTAATTGTTTCATTGTTTGGAAACCATTTGACTCGTCCATTTCTTCCAAGTCTCCAGAAAACACTACAACATGATGGACTCATTCTTCTCATTTGTTGACATCAATTCCGACCAACTTGTTTCCTGCACTCCTTTATTTACTTCCTTCTTGGTAGTTCGTCATATTCTTCTGAATAAATTTTGAGCTGTCCATAAATTGCTCTCCGGTAATCCATTGCTAACCTCTTTTGATAACAAGCACTATCTGTACTTCTGTATAGCCCTATTTTGTTCAGCTGTCCTCTAAATTTTCGAACTTTTCATGACTTACGCAGATCCGTGTCAAAATCACTCTTGAGTTCACAATTGTCTTGAATACAGCCCTGGGCAGTCTCTAACAATATTGATCTGCCTATTTTGGTAAGGTGCCAAAGTAGTATTCTTTTCTCACTGTAAGATTACATACATCCTCCTGGCAGATGCATGTGAACAGTTTTTTCCAGTCTTCGTCCCATTTTCGATACCAGACGTTTCTACCCAGATGACTGTTCATCATTTAATCATCACGACGTCATTTTGGCCCTTGAACATAGTCAAGGTTTCTTTCTCCACATTTTCCAAAATTTCTGTAACATGTAACTCCCATGTTTTTCAGTCTGAATTGACCCACCCTTGCTTCTCCCATTACTACAAGATGTAAAGGAGGAATACTGGTTTGGTTTTCAGAGTTCTCGCAAGTCTTAATACTCTATCGTTGGTCAATAGATGTCGTTCGTTTCATCTTTGACTCCAAAACAAGCACTGTTTCCAAACACCACAACTGCAACACTCTTCTTGAGGTGCGTTTCACTTATCAAATTGGTGTCTTGAGGAAATGAAGTAGACCAACTATTCTTTGGGTATTCAGGAGATTAAAATACGGATGAACCGCTTTTCCTCTTTCTCTTCATGAATATCAAATGACCCTCTAGGTGAGCGGTAAATTTTTATCAAGGCTGCTGTTGGTTATTTTGATAACCACATCCACCACCAGTTTGATTCTTACAGAATGGTTTTGTTAAATATTTTAAACATTTCTCGTCCACATTCAAACGTATCAAATTTGCAAACACCAAGTAATTCGATACAGTAACTAAATGTTTCTATCGTTTTCAGTGCATTTCCGCCCTAGTGGCTGTAGCATTCGCCCGTCCTGAACCACCAGTGGGCTATAACTACCCCTCTCCTCAACCATCGCAACAATACGGAGCTCCCTCCGGAGTTTCTCACGGGGGAATCCACGGCATCTCCTCAGGAATAGGAGGGGGACTGGGAGGTGGAATTTATGCCGGAGGTGCTGACGGCTTTTCATCAGGTGGCTTCTCTGGATCCGGTGCAGGATTCTCATCCGGATCTGGATTCATATCAGGATCTTCCGGGCTCTCAGGATCTTCTGGATTCTCAGGATCTTCTGGATTCTCCTCAGGTTCCGGTGGATTCTCCTCAGGTTCCGGAGGATTCTCCTCAGGCTCCGGTGGATTCTCCTCAGGCTCCGCTGGATTTGCAGGTGGCCCCAGCGTGATCACTTCTGGACCATCCCTAGTACACAAACATGTCTACGTTCATGTAGCTCCTGAGGAACCCGAAGAAGTGCGCCCACAAAGACCTATCGTCGTAGGAGCTCCCCAGAAACACTACAAAATCATCTTCATTAAGGCCCCATCTCCACCAACCCCTGTCGCACCCGTCATCCCCGCTCAGCCACAGAACGAAGAGAAAACCCTCGTCTACGTTTTGGTTAAGAAACCAGAAGAACAACAAGACATCGTTATCCCAACTGCTGCTCCCACTCAGCCTTCCAAACCAGAAGTTTACTTCATCAAGTACAACACCCAGAAGCAAGTTGTGTCTGGAGGCAGTGGTATTTCTTCTGCTGGTGTTTCTGGTGCTGGAGCCGTGAGTGGAATTGAAGGTGGTTCAATTGGGGGCGGAATTGGAGGCGGAATTGGAGGAGGAATTGGAGGAGGAATTGGAGGCGGCATTGGAGATGGCTCTATCAGTGGACACGGAGTATCTTTCGGAGGATCCGAAGCTATCAGCGGAGGACATCATGACTCTGGAATCGTGTCTGGAGGTGTCAGCGGATCATCTGCTGGAGTTTCTTCCAAATACGGCCCACCCGGCTACCAACATTAAGCGATTACATCGAAGATGAAGATTTACGGGTCCAACTGATCTAGTTTTTCAGTTGTTGAATGCATTATTGATCTGTGAGAGATGTGATATTCACTTAATTGTACTTGATCGTGCCCTTATTGTAAATAATTTCATTAGTTTCTAGGATTTTTAACGTTTTCATTCATTATTTTTATACTATACAGCTTTAAAATACGGTGACAAATAAATGAAAAATATTTTTTTAATATCGTATTTTCATTTCTGTGCTACCCTGCACGAATGGTTTTTGAACTCATAATATGTATCCTATAGCAGAGATTTATTGAAGAATCAACCAGTAAACGAAAAGTTTTACTTAATATCATGTATCTGAGGCATCGGTGAAAGTGAAAGTAATTGGAACAATTTAATTTGCGAAGACCATACTTTTTGTGCAATCATCTCGATTATTTCAATTAATTTGAGAGTTGCGTGATGCTCCAATGCCATTCTATTCAAAAAATAAGTGTGTTGGGAAAATATACGGAATGATTTGTCTTCTTTTTATCATCACAAATATATTTTTGTACAACTGTCATTAAAAGTGACATTTTTAATGGTTGTCAATAGTATTAAAAGATTATGTTTACAAAGTAGCGTGTTGAAAGTATTTTTTTAACACGATTTTTGTCGATCAAATAGCAATAAACGAAACATAATTATTCAATTTTCAAGAAAGTTTTATTATGAACAATATATAAAAATACAATTAAATTATGTTACAAATGTATTATATACATTAATTGCATTATTATTATCATTTATAAATATCAATATGAAAAGTACAATTAGAACAATTGCTGATATTAATACCTTGCCTTTTTTTAAGAAATAGATTGATCGATGTAACCCTCAGCTATTGTTTATTCATTTATGGGTCAAGTACACTACAGAATTATTATAAAATCCCAAATGGTACATCATGAAAGTTTCTATTGTTGAAACCAGTCAAGCATTAGAGTTCAGTTATGAACCGGACAAGTAAAATCCTTAATATAAACTATTGTAATTGCTTAAAAATAAATAAACCTATTTATTTTTTTTCAGTCCTATACACCACAAACTATTAATAAAATATCAAATGGAACATAAGGAAAGAAAAAATATTAAAAAGACAAAAATAAGCTTAAAAACATTCAACACTAATGAATAATTAAATTATAATACAAAAACGTAACTATGTCAAGTACATTATAGAATTGTAACAAAGTCCCAAATGTTACATCAATGTGCAAACAAACCCTAGAGTCAAGTTATTACTTCATATTAAATAAAGGTATGCATTTTCATTTGTCAAGTAGTACATTAAGTTCAAATTCAAATAAAAAAAAGACATGTACCAATACTAGAATAAGTTATGATTATTAAAAGAAATAATAAACGACTATTCAGAAGTTTAATGAACAATCTCTTGATGACGTCGTCTGATTGCCATTTTTTAAATTTTAAATATGACAAATGAAAAAGATCAAGTTCTGAAAAATATGTATAGAAATTTTTTTGGAGCCTACAACTCATTGCCATCGAGCCATAGTTAGTCTTGTGGAATCGCAGCCCAAATAAAAAAATGCGATTGCTTCTTAAGGATCTTGAGTTAACAGAAAGGCAAAGGTCATCTAAAATAGCTGAACAATAGTAGTGGAAGTTTATTATTTTATGAAGGAATAGAACCATTGCAAGTTTACGTCTGTCCTCAAGTGATAATAAATCCAATACAGACAGCCTCATTTGCGAGGTAAATCCAAAGTAGGGTTGGCCAAGTTTCCAAATTATATATTTAGAGAAGCGATTTTGCACTTTTTCAAGCCTCTCTTTATGACAAGCATAAAGAGGACACCAAATAACACTATTATATTCCAAAATACTCCGAACCAATGAAAAATATAATGTCTTTATAGCATCATATTCTGTAATATGCCGGGTATTCCTTTTGATGAATCCGAGCATTCTGAATGAATGAATGTTGTAGACGTCCATCCACCGTCCTTCTTAATATCAGTTATATTTGCTCCTGATTCTGTTAGCAAAGAAGCAGAAGACCTTCTGAAACAGTGACATGTATATTCTTTTCGTTCCGGGAGGTTCAGAAACTCAGCAACGGTGAAGGGCATTTTACCAAATGTGTTTATACCAACTGGGTTGGTACTCTATTAATAATTTGAGTATTTCAGAAAAACGTTCATGATTGATAACAGAAGGGCGTAATGCAACGTATTTATTAAAATAGGCAGTTATTTGAAGTAAAGATGCGGTTATTTAGCCCTAAAGAGAAAAAAAATTGAAGCCATCATGATCATATCATGATCACCTGCCTTGGTGATCAGCTGACAGTGATAGTGTTGTCATATCCGTGAAAGTCAGAGTTGTCAATTAACAGTGATTCCATCATGAATATTTTTATTAAAACTAAAATGGCTGACATGCATTTTATTTATGAATGAGCAAATGGAAATGCAAACGGAGAATTTACCAGGACAGTTTTAACAAAAAGGCAGATGGTAAAAGATCAGAGACTGTAACAACGTCTGCACTAGAAGAAGCTATGCCTTATGCGATAGGAGAAGACCTTTCAAATAGTACCAGAAAGGTTACACTGCAGCTGAAAGTTTGCCCAAAAACTGTATAGACAGTTCTGAATAGAAACCTCCTATACCCATACCACATATAGTGGGTCCAAACTCTACTGCCTCAAGATTTTCACTCAAGATTGATGTTTTGCAGATGGTTGATTCATACGATGACACAAAATATAATTTTTTCACAATATTGTAAATATTGTATTGTACGAACGAAACAAATTTTTCACGAGATGCTATTATGAACTTTCGCAATGACCATTTTTAGGCCGATGAAAATCCCTACGTTATTAGAGAAAATCATTGTCAGCAACAATTTTCGCTGAACGTTTGGGTAGAAATGATTGGTGACCATCTGGTCATTTAAAACAACAATTCGATTGCACTCAACAAAGTCGGCCATTTTGACTCGTCACGTCATTGCGGTGCGTTGTCAAATTTTTCGCGTGCGTTTTTTTTCATATGCGTAATAATTGTTGTTGCCTTAAAATTTTTAAAGTAAATAATCTGATATATTAGGTGACAACTACATTTGTAATAACTTATTTAGCAGTTAAATACTGGATTTCTGATTGAAAAAACTTAACCGCACTTTTTAGCAAAACAAACGAAATTCGTACCTTGGGACAGTGATATTTTTTCACCTTGGGACTGTCCCTAGGTTCGAACATTTGATATGTTCTAGTTTACTTATAATTATTCTTTTTACTGGTATTTTAGATGCCCCGGAGTAAAAATAACGTGACTAGACTCCAACCAATTGCAGGAAATGTTAAAAACGCCGTTAAAAAGGTGATTGAAAAACGATGTTCTATCCAAAAAGTTGCCGAAGAGTTTGAGGTTTCAAAATCTTCAATAGGTCGTAAAGCTGAATGAAGAAAACGAAACTACAACTGTCATTTATAAACCCAATAATGCTGTCGAGAATTGTTTAACAGCATCCAAATTTCATTATAGCATACCTAAAGAGCAATTCTTGAAACTAGCATATCAGTATGCAGTAGCTTTCAAGGAAACGTGAGAAAACAAGAGTCTTAACCGATACTCCTGAAAAACTGGAATTGGAGCAGTTGGCTGCAAAGAAAAGGAAAAATGCATTACAAAAAAATATGAAGACTGTGAAAAAGAGATTTTTCAAAACAAAAATTGAATATCCTTTTCCAGAGGAAGTCACTAATGTGATTTTAGAAAGTGACGACGATCCATGTGATGATGATCAAGAGGAAAATAATTGTATCGGATGTGGAGGAAATTATTTTGTTACCTCACGTAAAGAAGACTGGATTCAATGTGTTACTTGTCGATTTTGGGTGCACGAAGATTGCACCAGTCCAAAAAATAGGATATATTTTATTGTCTTGTCTCGATGTGCCTTAGTTCGTAAATTAATTGTTAATTAGTGGTAATAACCAAAGTTCCAAAGCATAACTGTTGAGTTCTTGAACTAAATCAGGTATATGTGATTACTAATTTTTAAGAGAAAGTGATTATAAATAAATGTTATTAAAAAAACTACGCTTTTTATTACTTATGCTCTCTAAGAGTTGATTTTTCAGTAGTCACTTCTTTATCTGACAAATAAGAGTATATGGGTCATATTTTTACGGCTTATTACAATGTATTATGTTTTTTAAATTCCAATAAAAATCCAGAAAATATTTGTCCCAAGGTACAAATATCAGTGTCCCAAAGTACAACCTCACTTTGTACCTTGGGACATAAAACCCAATCAGTTTTCAGTTGTCACTTTTTTATCTAACAAATAGGCATATATGGGTCATATTTTTACGGCTTATTACAATGTATTATGTTTTTTAAATTCCAATAAAAATTCTGAAGATATTTGTCCCAAGATACAAATATCGGTGTCCCAAAGTACAAGCCTCACTTTGTACCTTGAGACATAAAACCCAATCAGGGTAAGCATATTGATGTTACGAAGGTTGCTAGAGTGGTNCTTTCAGACACAAAACTGAAAGAAAATCACTTCCATATAAACACTGAATTACACGGAAAAAAAAACTTCGAAACAGTTACTTTTTAAGAATATTGAATTATATAAAAACATTTCTTTCATTCAGTTTGTACTCTAAACATTCTTTATGGAAATGAATCAGATTTCATTCATAGGATTGCTACAGAATGATTGCTAATCATTGACGAGATCTTGTGCCACGGCAGACATTATCAGTGATAATTTAGTCAACTATGTATAATGTTTTATCCAAATTCGGTTTTTTCCTTCCTCCACAATCATAGACTGATAAAGTGAATATACTAAGCATCTATAAAAATCTGTTTTCTATCAGAAATTTTCTTACATTCAATATACTGGATGCATTTCTGAATTTTTTTTTTTTATTTCAGGTGAGTTGCGAATATCCTCACGCTTGATTGGTGGTAGTGGTAGTTTCTTAAGAAAGAAAGATGAAAATGCCAAATAGAATTGTTTGGTTCAAGTAAGTATTACCAATAAATTATTGTTTCATTTTACCTCGTATATATTTTACCAAAGATCTAATTATATCGAGAAGACACCTGCATCAACCTTTTTCATATAATCCACTATTTCGAACTTCGGCTGCTGATAAAATTGTAGCAGGATGAATTTTTACTAAACTTTTATTTTATAGAGGAGGACAATCCCTGAAAAGTTTTAGAAAATTTGACTAGAGCTTTTAATATACAGGGTGTAATTATTAAGTGTTAAACAGT